TGGTCACCCCCGGCCACCGCAGCCTCGACCTGCTGGGCTCCGGCGATCCTTCCGCCTCAGCCTTCCGAGTAGCTGGAATTACAGGCGCGCGCTACCACGCCTGGCTGATTTTTTGATTTATTGTAGAGATGAGGTCTTGCTGCCCAGGCTGGTCTCGAACCAGTAGGCTCAGGCAATCCACTCACCTTGGCCTCCCAAAGCGCTGGGATTACAGGCTGCGCCACCAAGCCCAGCCTGTACTGTCCTTCTGATGTTTCTGTACGAGGGGACCCACAAAAACCCAGAATTATCTTTTGGTAGCGCGGGCCCCTTGTAGTCCAGGCTTCCCCCGCTAAGCGGGTGTTCCAGGAACCCACTGGCATCAGTGGACCAGCTAGCGTTGTTGTGAGAGGCTGCACTTGGCTTCAGTGGAATTTTTTTGGGGGGGGCCTTTCAACACATTTGCTTATTTCATGCTGGGTGACTCGTGAGTGCGTGTCCCACACTACAGAGTCTTCAGCAGTTTCTGACCAAAACCAGCATGACCCCCCACGCCCCACCCTCCCTATTCACCCAGTCTTGCCCCAAGCAGCTTTTTTTGTTTCCCCACATTTAAAAGAGTCCTCAAAGGGAAACATTCTGTCGAACTAAACCAAATGAAACAAAAACCAAATGACACAAAAACCAGCAGAAGAACTGGAAGACATCAAAACAGACGATTTCAAAATTGTTTTGAGCAGCGGAAAAGCATCACAATAAATGTGTTGCATCAAAGAGAGAGTACTTTGAGGGTAACTGAAGTTTAAACATGTAAGAATAAATACACAATTTTTTAATAAATAAATTCCAGGGTTTTTTTTTAATCTCCCCTCTTAAATTTGAAGCTATTAGCCGGGCTCGGTGGCTCAGCCTGTAATCCCGCGCCTTTGGGAGGCTGAGGTGAGTGGATCGCCTGAGCCCGCGAGTTCGAGATCCGCCTGGGCAATTTGGCGAGACCTCATCTCTACAATAAATCAAAAAATCTGCCGGGCGCGGTAGCGCATGCCTGTAATTGTGGCTACTTGGAAGGCTGAGGCGTAAGGATCGCTGGAGCCCAGCAGGCAAGGCTGCGGTGGCCGGGAGCGGCCACTGCACTCCAGTCTGAGCGACACAGTGAGACTCCAACTCAAAAAAAAAAAAAAGAAAGAAAGGAAGGGAGGGAGGAAGGGAGGGAGGAAGGGGGGGAGGGAGGGAAGGAGAGAGGGAGGGATGATGAAAGAACGAAAGAAAGAGAGAGAGACAGAGAAAGGGTCTCACTCGGTGGCCCAGGCTGGAGTGCAGTGGCACAATCCTAGCTCTCTGCAGCTTTGACCTCCTGGGCTTAGGCAATTTTCCCTCCTCAGGCTTCTGAGTAGCATGCCATCACACCCAACCAATTTTTTTGTTTGTTTGTTTGTTTGTTTTGAGTTGGAGTCTCACTCTGTCGCCCAGACTG